GCAGATCATGTCATCCTACGTATATCTGAATTGTTTGAGGACAGTTGTTTTTTCCTTTTTAATTCATGCTATGCTTGCATATTCCTGATATCCACAATATAACCTCTTTCTGTTGCTTTTTTTCTGTTGCTTTTAATATTTATTTATTTGGTTGCACCGGGTCTTAGTCGCAGCTCCACGGCTCCTTAGTTGCGGCAGGCGGGCTCCTTAGTTGTGGCATGCTCACTCTTAGTTGTGGCATGCATGTGGGATCTAGCTCCCTGACCAGGGGTTGAACCCCGGCCCCCTGCATTGGGAGCACGGAGTCTTATCCACTGCGCCACCAGGGAAGTCCCTCTGTTGTTTTTAAAACGCTTATTAGTAACAATATCTAACACTTAAAACTGTGAGGGCCTAACCCCAGAATAATTAATTAAATCTGTGTTAAATTTTTTTCCTTTTCTTTTTTTCTTTTTGCCACACTGCTCGGCTTGCAGCGTGCAGAGGTCTTAGTTACCTGACCAGGGATTTAACCCAGGCCACAGCAGTGAAAGTGCCAAGTCCTAACCAATGGACCACTAGGAAATTCCCTCTTTTGTTTTTTTAAGTGATTCCATCCAGTGACCTCTATATGCTTGCAGAACTAGCATTGACTGAAGTTATCTCAGGCTGCATCCTCCCAAGCAATAACTTGATTCAAAACAAAATATCATATATAAAAAAAATCAGACATTGTGGACTATAATAGGAGACTTTATAAGAACACAAAATATAAGGCAACTTCCTTTCTGAGGAATTATTTTGAGAGGAAAAACAGTACCTTATATTCAGGTATATAAGGTATTTATTAATTTAATAAACATTTAATGAGAACTGCTTGTGTGCTAGGCACTGTGCTAGGAACTGGAAATACAGTGAGCTTAGAGAATCTCACAGGGAAGACAGTCATTAAATGTATAATGCCACAGTTAATTAATTATGATCATTTAAGTACTATGAGGGATAAGTTTAGATAGCTATAAGATGAATAACTGGGGAACCTAGGTCTGTGGGGTTAAAAGTCTCCTATACCATGCTGTTTATGTACAGTGCAGCAGTAATTCATGTGCCCAGTCAGTCTGGGTTTAAATCTTGACTCAAACCTTAAGTAGGTTATTTAACCTCATTTTCCTCATTTATAAAGTGGAACTAACAGCAGTATCTACCTTATGAAGTTATAGTGATGATTAAATGAGTTAATACACTTAGAACAATGATGGCACTCAGTACCTGCTCAATAAATGTTAGCTATTGTTGCCATTTCAGCTGAAACCTGAAAGACAAGCCAAGAGGAAGGGAAGAAGGAAGAAACTCTAAGCAGAGCGACATGTGCAAAAGCCCAGAGGCATAAGGTTGCCTGGCCTATTCTAGAACTGAAAGGCCAATGTTTCTTAGCATAGAAAGCTAAGGGGGATTCACTTTGTTATAAAGCAGAAACTAACACACCATTGTAAAGCAATTACACTCCAATAAAGATATTAAAAAAAAAAAGAAAGCTAATGGGAAAGAGATACCATGAGATGTGAGGCCAGGCTGGGAAGGTAAACTGAGATCAATTATGCAAGGCCTTGTAGGCCAGGATAAGGAGTCTGAACTTTATCCTCCAAGTCAGAGGAAAGTTGAAAGGTTTTACAAAAGGGAGTAACAAGCTTAGATTTGCAACTTCAAAGGCGGTCTCTGGCTACAGCATAGAGAACTGGTTGGAGGGAGGCCAAAATAGATGAAAGGAAAACCAGTAAGGAGCCTACTCTGGTAATCTAGATTAGAGGCTTGTCGCTTAGACTAGGGAAGTGGCACAGAAGACAGAAGGAAGCTGGATGATTGAAGAAACAGAAGACAGAACCAACAAGGCTTAGTGTATGTATGGTAGGGTGAGAGGGCATGGAGGGAGAGGCCCTGAACAGTATATAAATATTTGAGGAAGAAATGAATGAATTTCTGTGTTCCTGCCATATTGTTTTACCACATGAAATGTCTTCCTTCTACTCCATCCTTCCAGGCAAAATTCCTTCTCGTTTCCTCCACAAAACTGTCTGAATGATCTTAGCCCCTTCTTTCTGGGAGTGTTGTAGAATTTTGGAACTGAACTTCTTTTTGGCCTTAAGAAGCGGCATGTGGAACTTCCATGACGAGGGATTGAACCCGTGCCCCCTGCATTGGAAGTGCGGAGTCTTAACCACTGGACCACCAGGGAAGTCTTAGAACTGAACATTCTTGAGAAATACATTGAGGGCTGTTGAGAGAACTTAGAAATTGTCTGAAGATGGAGATGATGTTTTAGTCAACTTTCTATCCCACCCACTCCCATATACCTAACACTTGTAGAAATCCACCCATTTATAGAACTTTTCCTCTGAATACGTGAGTGGTTCAAGCATAAACAGCCTATGCTAACATAAAGCTCTGTGACCCATAAAGCATTATACAGATGTGGGAGCTTTCACAACCATTTTCTTCTCGGGTCTTCACAGAACTCTTATAAAATAGGTACTACTATAGAGGAAATAAGCTCACAACTAAAGTGACATGTCCAGGGCTTCCCTGGTGGTGCAGTAGTTTAAAATCCTCCTGCCAAGGACAGGAATAAAGACACAGACGTAGAGAATGGACTTGAGGACACAGGGAGGCGGAAGGGTAAGCTGGGACGAAGTGAGAGAGCGGCTCAGAACTCAGAAATATTTCCAATTCAGTGTCTATTCTCCAAATTGAGGCAGGACTATGTCCCATTTTAGCAGGAAGTGGCAAGAGCCATCGTCGCCCAGTTTCCTGAATTAAAACTGAACAGGACTTTGAGGGGCTCAAGAATACAAATCGTTTCTGTGTCCCCTGTTTCTTGTTTATAGGATACAGACTTCATTCAACCTCCTTGACCTTCCTGGAATTCCAAAGGGCAGACTCAAACAGTTGCTAATCAGGAAAGGGAGGGGATGCAAAAACAGGGGAGAAACAGTCAAATGGTGGTTCAGCCTTGGGCAGGCACCTGGTTCCTCCTCAAGGAGCATGCATAACTGTATCTTTGAGTTCTTCTGCAGAACCGGGACCCCACCCAGGTGGAGGATGGTAACTTCAGGCTGAGTGCAAGATTCCTAGAGCACCGTCCTGTTACCTCACCTCCAACCAATGAGAAGAACCCTGTAGCCCTCACCCCAAATTTTGCCTTCCTTTTCTGGGCCCAGCGATGACCATCCTGTTAGGCCTCCTGTTTGGCCCATGTGTTTCAACTGTTTACAAGGTTCATCTCCAACAGGGTCCAACAGTTTCAGGCTAAATTTGTTACTACGAGGGTGAACGCTAGTTTCGCACAGAATTTAGATCAATTTAGATCAGGTGGGGAGACACTTCTACTCTACCAGGCAGGACTACGCCCACCCTCAGCAGAAAGTAGTTACAGAAGAAAGAGACCTCCGCCCCAATTCCCAAGAAGTATCTTGACTATGAAGTCTCTCAGGGGGGGAGTTGTTAGGGGAACCATTGACTGAAACCACCCTCCCTGGCTGGGCAAGATAGTAACCACGTGCATGAGTTTATCTTACAACAGGAGGTCCTGGTAACGAACGTGGAACTAATGAGCTAGAATTCAGGAAAGGTCAAAAGAAGAGAGGAGACGCCAGTCCATATGTCTTACCAACCTCCCAGAATCCTTCTCGCTGGAATCTCGCTGGATGAGCAATGCCTGCACCACCGGGAAGGACCCTGAGTCAGAGCGATTGGCCAGAGACAACCCGGAAACTAACCCCATCACCATAAAACCTGAGGCTGTGAGCCACCACGTGGCAGAGCAGTTCTCTTGGGTTCCCTGACCCTGCTGCTCTCCACCGGGGTGCTCCTTCCCAATAAAGTCTCTCGCTTTGTCAGCACGGTGTGTCTCCTTGGACAATTAATTTCCGAGTGTTAGACAAGAGCCCACTCTCCCACTTCCTGCAATACCACTTCTGGGGCACCTTCCCAGTTTCAGGTATTAATTAATGTAGTCAAACATATTTATTGGGCTTCCCTGGTGGCGCAGTGGTTGAGAGTCCGCCTGCCGATGCAGTGGACACGGGTTTGTGCCCCGGTCCGGGAAGATCCCACATGCCGCGGAGAGGCTGGGCCCGTGACCAATGCCGCTGAGCCTGCGCGTCCGGAGCCTGTGCTCCGCAACGGGAGAGGCCACAACAGTGAGAGGCCCGCGTACCGCAAAAAAAAAAAAACCCACAACATGTTTATTGAGCAATTACTAGGTGCCAGGCATGACACCTAGCGGTGGGGATAAGGTACAGCAGAGAACAAGGCAAGAAGGTGCTTGCCCTCAGTGTGATTCAGGGAGCCGGTCAAAGGAAACAAAGGTATAAATGATGCGGTAACGGCTATAAAAAAAAAATACACAGGGTGATGGGAGAAAATATATGTCCCTCTGGTCGGAGAGAGCCTCTCAGAAAAGTGGCATTAAGGTTGAGACCCGAGCTTGGTCTTCAGGAGGCACTTACCTTAAGACATTATTCCCACAGACCTACTTTGAAAAACGCCTACAAAAGGAAAGAGCGGACTTGGTCCACAGAGGGGCGGCTTCCAGGCATCCAACCTTAGCTGCAAACTTTGACCGGCACTAGAGGGCGCCGCGGGTCCTCCCAACCCCCATGAGGCACCGTAGACACAGGCCCTGCCTAACTGACCGCCGGCAGCTGCCGCGCCAAGGCCCCGAAGTCCGCAAATGGACAGAGAGCAAGGGCGGCGGCGCTAGGAAGCCCGAAGGCCCTAGAGCATCGCGAGGGGTCACGAGGCCCTCAAAGAAAGGACATTCTCAGGATCACAACCCAACCAAGAGCACATACTCTCTCGCTTCCTCCGGGACAGCCGGTTTCCGGCGCCTCTAAACCAGGAAGTGCCGGCGGCGCCCAATCCTGACCCTCCTTCCGAACTTAGCCTTAGCGTACGCTCCTCGCCCGGGCAGCGCGAGGCGAACGGTCTATGGTTACCAATCAGCTCTCAGGAAAGGCGCATGCGTCATCAAAAGAACGCAACGTACGGGAACTTTGACCTGAAGACGACTTACTCTCGTCTGCCCCTCCCTCACTGCGAAGATGGCGGTCTCCAGAGTGTGCTGGGCGCGGGCTGCTTTGTGGGGTTCGGCGGGGCCCCCTGGACCTTATGTCGCCCGGAGGCTGCAGTTTGTTCGCTCTGGCATGGCCTGGGGGGCCCCTCGGTGAGGGACTTGGAGAGAGAAAAGCATTTTTGAGTTCAGGCTCTTCCAGTGTCTCAGTTTTGTTTGCATGGTGTGTCTTAATTCTCAGGGCTCCACGCCCCGGCCCCTGGATTTTTATTGTGCCGCGCAGAATTCGCACCGGGATCCCTGCTAGAGACCTGGCTTCGTGACCCTCTCAATTCTCAGTGCCCCATGTTGTCTGAATTCCCCACGTGTCCTGAGCCTCCCTTTTTCGGCTCAGATTTTACTGCTACTTATCCGGATCTCACCTCTCTGGCTTTAGCCTGCTGCTCAGATTGCCCCTCAGGCCTTTCGCTCTCTCCAGACTCACCACTTCCCCGACATCCATTCTTGCCTGGCCTCTCATCTGCCCTATCTGTTTTTCTCAGTCTGACTGCTTATCTCTCCATGATCTCAAGATCTTTGGATTTCAGAAGTTTCAGGTCTTAGCATACATTCTCTGAAGCAGGTGTTTTACATTATGGACCCCAGGCGTGAAGGGGCTTCCAGGCTGGTTCCCAGATAGTCTCTTTCATCTTCCTTGTAGGTCTTCAAAGCTTCACCTTTCTCCAAAGGCAGATGTGAAGAGCTTGATCTCTTATGTGGTGACCAAGACAAAAGTGATTAATGGGAAATACCATCGTTTCTTGGGTCGTCATTTCCCTCGCTTCTATGTCCTGTATACAATCTTCATGAAAGGTAAAGACAAAACTAAAATAAAAATCCATTGAATCAGCTCTTGGGCAGTGTCAGAGAGTTAGAGTAAGTAAGATCACTTGCAGGCTCTGCGATGGGGGTGTAAGCTGGTATGTCTTCTGTTTCATAAATGCTTGAGCATTAAACTATTTCTTATAAGTTATCCCTTGATGTTTCTAGAAAGGTATGTTGAGAAACAACTTCTGACAACACCCTGGAGGATTATAGGTATTTTTGCACTTTTCCTAACCACACATCTGACTATAGTAGAAATTATTTGTCGTGCACAAGGGCAGAGATCTATAGCTGCACAGACCTGCCCTGTGGTTTACCAGTTGACTTGGCTTGTAAGAAAATGTAGTCTAATGTTTGTCACAGATCTCTCCTGGGTAGCACGTTGTGGAAATAGCACTACACGTACTTGGTTTCTGAATGTTTCGGTTCAGATCAGAGCTCTGCTAGTTACTAGGAGATGGTAGAGTGTCACGTGTCCACTCTGGAGCCAGACTGCCTGGGTTCAAATCCCAACTAGTCACTAGCTGTGTGATTGGACTTGTTACTTAACCTCTCTGTTCTTTGGTTTTCTCATCTGTAAAATGAGGGTAGTAATAGAACCTGCCTATTGTCTGCATGGCTATGAAGATTAAATAAATCCATACACGTAAAGTCCTTAGGACCAGATTCATAGTGACTGCTCAGTAAGTGTAGCTATAACTATTATACTCTACTTTTTTTTTTTTTTTTTTTTTGGCGGTACGCGGGCCTCTCACTGATGTGGCCCCTCCCGTTGCGGAGCACAGGCTCCGGACGCGCAGGCTCAGCGGCCATGGCTCACGGGTCCAGCCGCTCCGCGGCATGTGGGATCTTCCCGGACCGGGGCACGAACCCGTGTCTCCTGCATCGGCAGGCGGACTCTCAACCACTGCGCCACCAGGGAAGCCCATTCTACTTTTTTTATCATAACACCAATTATAGTAAACTCCCACATTGTCAGCTCTGAATATTATAATTATTACTAGCTTCATGTACTTGCAAAAGCTGTAAAGTGGAGATAAGAATGACTGCTTTGTCTGCTCCCCAATTTATAACTAGAATCAAATGAAAAAAAGAGTCTGAAAGCATTTTGGTTGTTTGTGTTTAAGCCTTTTATTATAGAAAACTTCAAACATAACACAGAAGTAGAGTAATACAATGAACTTCCATATTCTCAACGTCACTTCAACAATTATTGACTCACAGCCACCAATCTTATATCATTTATACATTGGCTTTCTCCTGTATTATTTTGAAGCCAACCTAGACATTATACCATTTCATTCATAAATAGGAAAACATTTTTATAAACTAAAGTTCTAGGTCAGTGTAAGGATTATCTTGGAATGAAGTGAAAATGCAATCTTAGAAATATGTTGAATTCCAGTAATTATAAAAGTGTTCTAGAAAGGAGATAAATTAATATCTGGTTGAGATATACAAAGGGTTAATTGAGCAAGACTTCCTGAGGTTAAAGAGCTTTGAATTTTTATTTTAAAAAGGGAGTGAGTAATGAACCAGAAGAGGGAGACCATTCCCTGGTAGATCACAGAACGCCAGCTTGGCAGGAAGAGAGGTGATATGCTGGGGGCAGGGGGGTGGAAGGGGGCAGAGGGGAGAAGGATAAGAAACGAAATATAGGTCAGTCTCACAAGAGTTTCAAGTGACCTAGTTTAAAGCTTTGATTTAGAGTAGCATTGGGGAGGGAGGGACAAGTGTGTGTTGTGGGTGAACATGGAACAAAAGGCTGTGGTAATCAGATTGGGATAACATCACACTCTGTCCTCTACTTTAATGAGGTAGGATTGCAGATGTTATGGGCTGATGCCAAAAAGGCTAGAAGAATAAAGACAAATATGTGGAAGCACAATATAAAGTTTCATCAACTTTCATACCGGGAGATGGAGCATTTGAGACAGGTATGCGCCAAGGGCAGATATCCAGAAGTTCACGGTGATATAATTAAAGTTAACCCAGAACTCAAGTCTTTTCATTCCTATTTTCTTCACCACTGACCAAGCTGTTGCCCCTTGCCATGAGATCAGATCATTTGTCAGAATCAGTTCATTCAGAGTTGTGAGCCTCCATAGCAGAGCTCCGTAGAGTTTCTAGAACACTTTCTGAATAAAAGTGAACAGTAAAGTCCAGTTTGTTTCTGAACATATAAAAATCTGCAAGGAAGGATCCAAAGGCAGCAGGAAAGTAGTATTTGGTGATAACTTGATGGTAGTTTTGAAGCTGAGAGTAAGAATCTAGGACCATTCCGCAGATCAGGAAGAATTTACTTAGGGATTTGGTATACTGTCAGGCCCTGTACTAGACATTGTTTGGAATACAAAAGTAAACAGATCAGGGCTCCTGTCCTTAAGGAACTTACCAACTAGAGGTAGATAGAAATAACCTTGATCCTTACCTGGGCTCTAATAGAAGTTTACTGCACAGTGGGGTGGAGGGATTGTCCATTGTACTAAAAACTTACTTGGGTTAAAACTGCATCTGTGTTTATTTCTGCTTAGTTCCGTCGAGACGTCACCAAGTGTCTTTTCCTAGGCATTCTTTCCATTCCACCCTTTGCCAACTACCTGGTCTTCTTGCTAATGTGAGTACAGAGTTCTGTCTCTCCGGCATACTGAAGATATGTAGATTTTTTTTAAATTACAAATTAAGAACTTTCCATTTCAGAAGTCAGGCAGAGGTTATCAAACTTCTGCTCCAATTTTCTCATTAGCCCAAGGTTCATAAAAGCCACCTGGGTTACTGCGACGGCTGTAGGAGTAGGTGGCCTGGCTTCTCCCTGTCTCTTAGCTGCTCCTGTGTGATGTGAAATAAGATAATGATCTTTTCCATCGTCCCTAGAGGCAGCAACCCACTCTCTTAGAGGCATAGCAACTTGGGACAAATTTTTTTCTTCAGGAGAAAAATGCATTTCATATTCTGATAATACCAATCTTTATTACTTTACCTTATATCTGAAGATGACAGTTTTAAACTATGACCTTGCATGTTGTTCTAGTTACCTATTGTATAACAAACAACCTCAAAGCTTAATAGCTTAAAACAACCATGATTTTCATGATTTTATGGGGCAGGAATTTGGGCAGGACTCAGGTGGCGGAAAGATTTTTCTCCCGTGTCCCTCAGTGATAGTTAAAACTGGTGAATGGACTAGTCTGGACAGTCTAAGGTCACTCTTAGGTTTGGTGCCTTAGCCGGGATGGCTTTGGAAGACTGGAACTGTCAACTAGGGTGCCTGCATATGGCCTCTGTAATGTGGTGGCTTCAGGGCAGTGGGACTTCTTACATGGCAGCTTAGGGCTCCAAGAATGAGTGTTCCAGCAAATAAGAATCTGCATGGGGCTTCCCTGGTGGCACAGTGATTAAGAATCCGCCTGCCAATGCAGGGGACACGGGTTCGAGCCCTAGTCTGGGAAGATCCCTACATGGCGCGGAGCAACTAAGCCCGTGCACCACAACTACTGAGCCTGCGCTCTAGAGCCCTTGCTCCACAACAAGAGAAGCCACTGCAATGAGAAGCCCACACACCACAACGAGGAGTAGCCCCTGCTCGCTGCAACTAGAGAAAGCCTGCGCGCAGCAACGATGACCCAACACAGCCAAAAATTAAATTAATTAATTAATTTTTAAAAGTTTCAAGAAACTTTAAAAAAGAATCTGCATGGCCTTTTAATTTTATTTATTTATTTTTTGGTTGTGTTGGGTCTTCGTTTCTGTGCATGGGCTTTCTCTAGTTGCGGCAAGTGGGGGCCACTCTTCATCGCGGTGCGCGGGCCTCTCACTGTCGCGGCCTCTCTTGTTGCGGAGCACAGGCTCCAGACGCGCAGGCTCAGCGGCCATGGCGCACGGGCCTAGTTGCTCCGCGGCATGTGGGATTTTCCCAGACCAGGGCTCAAACCCGTGTTCCCTGCATTGGCAGGCAGACTCTCAACCACTGCGCCACCAGGGAAGCCCTGCATGGCCTTTTATAACCTAGCCTTGGAAGTTACAAAGACTTCTGCTCTATTCTGTTGGTTGATGCACTCACCCAGATTTTAAAAACCAGAGGCACAGACCTCACTTCTCAATAAGAGGAGTGCCAGGGAATTTGTAACCATGTTTTAAAACCACCGCCCGTATAGAGAAATGAATTAGAGGAATTCCATTTTGTATACACATAGGGACTGTGAACAGTTTGAGGTTGTCAACATCACATACAAAGTCCAGCTCTGTCTGCAGCTTTGTCCAAAATATGTTCATCACATGCTTTGATTCAAAAGGAGTCATTTATCTGATTGCTGCGTACAAGGCTATTCCCTTACTGCTTCCTTTTACATAACCTCAGTAACGTTGCTTGAAATTGGGCTTCAGTGTATCTTTAAACCTTGGTCTGATACTCATTTACAGGAAAGAACAGTAAGGTAGGGAAATAGTGTTTCCATCTCTTCCTCCAAGCATTCATGTCTGCTAAATGCTTTCTTAGCTCACTTTGAAAGATGCCCGTTTCAGCAAGTGACTTTGTGATTCCTTTTCTTTTCAGGTACCTGTTTCCTAGGCAACTGCTGATCCAACATTTCTGGACCCCAAAGCAACAAATTGATTTCTTAGATATCTATCATGCTCTCCGGAAGCAGTCCCACCCAGAAATTCTTTGTTATTTAGAAAAGGTTATCCCTCTCATTTCTGATTCAGGACTCCGGTGGCATATGACAGAATTGTGCACCAAGGTATTCCTCCAATTAACCCTTCCTGCAAACCAGGAATCTTGTTAGATCCAGCGTGCACTAAAACTGGGTAAGAAGGCTAGTCTGGACCTTCCTAACATCTGCCCATCTCTTACCTCTCCCAAGATGCAACGTGGTACCCACCCAGCAATACATGATATCCTGGCTCTGAGAGAGTGTTTCTCTAACCATCCTCTGGGCATGAACCAGCTCCATGCTTTGCAGATGGTGAGCACTCAGGCTTTCTCTATTCCATGGCGTCACCTCGCTTCAGGTCTTACTTGCAGTAACACCGAGTTGACTTTCTCCCCCTATATTGTGTCACAGAAAGCCTTGAGTCGAGCAATGCTTCTCACACCTTATCTGCCTCCTGTCTTGTTGAGATACCGTTTAAAGACTCATACCACTGTGATTCACCAACTGGACAAGGCTTTGGCAAAGCTGGGGATTGGTCAGCTGACTGCGCAGGAGGTGAAGTCGGTAAGTGCTTGATTGCAATATCAACCTGCAGTCCTTGGTGGGCTTTTGAGCTCACGGGGCTGGGAGCTTCCAGGGAGCTCCTTGTCTTGCTTGTTACAGCAGAGCCCAGGCTCTTTATTCTCTCACCTCATTTCTATGTCTTTTTTCCTGAGTGAACTTAACTAGTGGGAAGAGTTGCCCACAATAATTTTGGTTTATGTATGTTTTCTTCTGGCCCTTCAAAAAGCAAGGACACTACACTTTAGATCTATTGTTTTAGATTGTATAGGCCTTTTTGCTTCTCATCCTGTCCATCAGAGTTCATATTGCCATGGTGAAAGGTTTCTTGTGGGGATGAGGTTTTAACTTATTTAAAGGGGATTTGGGATTCTCTGTGGGTTTATACTTCCTTGGCATACTTGCTCTGTGATAATTAAGGATTGTTTCTCTTCTGAGCGATCTAGGCTTGTTACCTTCGTGGCCTGAATTCCACCCATATTGCTGAAGAGAGGTGTCGAACTTGGCTGGGAGAATGGCTGCAGCTTTCCTGCAGCCTGAAAGGTGAGACAAATGCCTGTGGTTATGCCACTAAGATCCAAGTCATTTTTGTATTTTATTCTGAGGTTTTATTTGGGAGTTAATTATTAAGTAGCGTGAGACCCTTATCTAATATATATGTCTAATTGAAAGGGCGCAGACTCACTTGCCTACAGGGGCTAGGCAGGTAATGAAGTAGACTGTGCAAGACAAGAGGGAGGACTACGGATTATGGGAACCTGAGTGTGAAGCAGGGTTGCCCAACCTTGGCACTACTGATGCTTTGCTGTGGAGGCTGTCATGTGCATTATAAGACGATACAGCAGGCATCCCTGGCCTCTATCCACTAGATGACAGTAGCACCCCCTCACCCAGTTCTGACAACCAGAAATGTCTCCAGACCTTGCCATGTAACTCTGGGAGAAGCACCAGCCCCAAGGCATTCAAATTCAGAATGAAAACACTCAGTTGCCTAAACAAAAAGTATCTGCGGGTGGGTATTAGACCTATGGGTCTCCTGTTTGGAACCTTTGGCTAGGCCTCGATATCTTCTAAGCCTCAACATCAGGGTAGGCCTACTAATCTCCTTGGGGCCGAGAAATGTCCCTGGAGGACCAGCTTCTACCGGAAAATTCCGAAGGGTGACAGTGGGGTTTAGTACCATTACCATCTCTGAATTTTCTACTGCCATCACATGAGAATCAAGTAGATATAGATATTCGGTGGAAGGAAAGAAAGTATACATGCAGGGACTGGAATGAAGCAGGGGAACTTTGAGAACAGTGGCCTCTTAATGTCACACCTCCCTGTACTTGGCTTTCTGCCTCTGGTGTCAAGCCCCACATAACAAGGTAGCTGGAAGGCAGGCTCTTCCCTGGCCAAACCATTAACGTTGATGTTGTTTTCAGAAGCTGAGCTGTCCCTCTTGCTACACAATGTGGTCCTGCTTTCCATCAACTACATTGGGACAAGGCGCTGAGCCAACAAGGAGCGGGTGGCATTGTCCTGCATGCAGTCACATAGTCCAGCAGCGTGGGACCAAACAGCACTTGTCAGCAAAGAGTGTGTGCCCTGTTAGGCGTGTGCAAGGCAGAGGAGCAGGTGCCCGTGTGGCAGCTGGAACTGAAAGAAACCCTCCTACTGGGGCGGCCCACGAGAGGTGTCATCCCAACTTCCTCAGAATTTGCTGGAGCTGGCTGCAGGCTTTGTACTGGGCTTTTACCATGGTGGTTTAAGTTCGGATCCCAGGAAGTGAGCTTTTGCCCCAGGTGGGAATCCTCATTTGGCTTGGGACTTACCCGCTGCCACATTCGTTACAGCTGGGTTTTTTTCGTTTGGTTGGTTTTTTTTTTGCCGTACGTGGGCCTCTCACTGCTGTGGCCTCTCCCGTTGTGGAGCACAGGCTCCGGACGTGCAGGCTCAGCGTCCATGGCTCACTGGGCCTAGCCGCTCCGCAGCATGTGGGATCCTCCCAGACCGGGGCACGAACCTGTGTCCCCTGCGTCAGCAGGTGGACTCTCAACCACTGCGCCACCAGGGAAGCTCCGTTACAGCTGTTTTTGTTCAGCCTTTATATCCGTGCATGTACTTTGATGCCCCCGTCAGCACTTTGATATGACCAAAAATAGGGATTTTTATTTTTTGTTTCCCTCATAGGGCTAACCACTTCCCTTTTTTTCAAATCCTTTGAGCACCTTAACTTTTTTTTTTTTTTTAAGTAAATAACTTATGGGAACATTCTAATGGAAAGATAAAAGAAAATACAAGCACTTCTTGACTCAAGTGTTTACAGCCTTTCCCTCCCTCTCTTAATTTCTGGATTGGGCTACAGCCCCTGTGGATCTTAAACGCTTTGCTACTTCCACTGTGTTGCAGCGATCCAACTGTAGCTGACAGTAGCCGCCTTTGGGCCGTGGATCAATCCTGTAAGGTACTAATTACTGCCCAGCCCCAGAGACCAGGAGAGGTCTACTTTGAGATAGTAAGTTGGGTTCAGCTTTTGTCTGTGTGCATCAGTGACCTGTAGTAACTTATTGTAAACGCATGAAGCACTGTTTTTAAGCTCAAGTAAAGACTGCCTGAAACCAGTTGCTGGAAATTACTTATGCATACCCTAATCATTTTACTAAGGCTCCTTTTACAAGACTGACTGACATAAGCTAACTAATGGCGAGATAACTGGTTGGAATAGAACCTTCTGATGGGATGGAAATGACAAAGGAGCTAATTTGAAGTTGATCCTCTTGCTGGATTTTAAGATGGTAACCAGGAATAGAGAATTTCATATATATATATTATATATATATATAATATATATATATGTGTAAAGTAATGGAATTACAAAGTGGGCCCCAAGAGTAGGGACTGAGGAGGGAAAAGCTCCAGCAGGGCAGATCAAGGCCTGCTTCAGCTGAAAAGGTATGTTAGGGCATATGATGCAAGTCAAGCTCTTGATGCTCCAAAGAATGTTCTATTTTTCCACCATAAAACATTCCTATTGTTAACATTAATCCTTAACTGACCTAATTGGTTTTATATACAATGCTAGAGAAGCATCTTTTCTCTAACAAGTAACTGACTTGTGGTCTGCCAAGATAAAGAATAACACACCATTCTTTTGAATATTTCTTTAATATTACATTTAAATATTCTCTTTAAATACAGCATTATCACAATGTAAAGGACCTAAAAGGCAAAAAAAAAAAAAAAATTTTTTTTTCAGAGAACCAGACAAGCTTTGGATTCACATTGAAATACTACCTGCGTACAGTATGTGAGAAAGGAAATTGGAAAATAATTAAGCGTTGTAATAATCATTTTTTTTATCTAGGCCTAGACTAAGCAGGACTGAAGCTCTCTGCCTCTGTGATCAGAGGCCTAGCCTTTCTAGCAACCATGAACTATAATTCTGTCCAACTCAGGTAGCACCAGAAACGAGATGGATCAGGTTTGTAGAAGAGGCCCTTTGCTTGACAAGACAGTTAATGCTAAACGTTAATATTTAGCATTTAACAGCTTGGGATAGGTGAGTCAGAATTGCAGAGTTAATGAAGGGATGGACTTATATTAAACTAGTTTTTCAGAAAAATCAAATTATCTTGGAGGTTGGCAATGAGTCTAGTTAGATGCAAATTCTTGGTTTGATCCCAAACGTGTGTTTTACTGAACAGGTGAAATCCACTCCCTAGCTTAGGCTGGAGCCTTCCTAAGGAGGGAATGTATAATGCTCACCTTCACCTTCCAACACAAACTTCTAGAAAGATTTTTCTCCAAATTCCCAATTAAACTTCAGTCTTATATCTGAGGGGACCAGTCTAAGGTGGCAGAGTGTAGCTCAGTTCGGGATAGCACCTAGATCTCAGGTACTTCAGACTCTCAACTCCATTTCAGGACTAGAGAATGGGGAGAGATAAGGGCCTATGACTTATTAACTCCCCTGCAAATGTAAAACCCAACAAAAACAGGAATGAACAGGAGAGGCAGAATGCGTTAAAAGATGTAACCGTGTTAAATATGAGGTCTTTCAGGCTCAGTTTAGGTTTGATAGGTGAAATGCTGCTGCGATGTACATGAAGGTTGCTTTCAGACACCAGGGCCTTAAGATCCCACAAGGAAAGGCTTTATGAGCAAGATAAGTAGTAACAGTTATCTCCTCCACCAAAAAAAAAAGTTTTTTACTTTTTTTTTCTTCTGGTTAATAAACCATAGCAGTAATGAAGCATGGTGTAAAGAATGCTAAAGAGTGTTTTGCTCCCTACTGCCTCCCTCTTCAAACAGAGGCCATAAAAAAAAGAATGAAATAAAACAGGCAAAGATAACTTTGCTAGTAAAAAGAATTCAGTGGTGGTCAATGGAGGACATCCTGGAACGTAAGCAGGACATAAGAGAACAGGAACCGTATCCCCCCTAATTCAGGTACAAACTGAATGTGAGTCCCACTCTAGACCTCAAAGGTTACAGTCAGAACCTGACTTCTTCAGAACCTGGAAGTTGTATGTAGCATTTAAGAACTGGTTTGGCTTCCAATCTTTATATATCGAGATGGGAGGGATCCAATAAGCATCTGCAGTTATCGGGGGTGAACAGTATAAGAATACAGTGTAAGAACTCTAACCCTGTATATCCAAGAGGGACCATGAGGGCAGATACAAAAAGGAAACAAAAACTAGTTGGTGAACTTGCCACGTTCTACATTCCTTTAAAGCTCAAATTTCTCAAATTGGGGTAGGGGGGACAACCTGGGTGAAAAAGCAAGCATGGCAAAAAGTCATCTTTCTAGACAGCAGCCTGTTCCTGCTGCCTCCTTTGGACACAGGTTAATGCTCTATATAGGCCTCCCATGGGATGTGTGAGCCCCAGACTAAAGCTGCCTGATGGAGCTGGGGTTAGACATATACAGAAGACTCAGGCTCTTGATGCCACATCCCCAGCCAATCTAGCTCTTTCCCTTCAAAGGAAAAAGGACAGAGGGGTAAAAAAAAAACAAGACCAGTTTAACTCTAGTACCTAAGAACATGTGAAAGAAACAATTCAAGTTAAGACCAGGAATCCCCAGTGTGGGGAACAGGTCAGAGAACACCAAACATGTCAAATATTAACTTATTTACCAAATAGGGGCCCAGGGAACACAGGTTAAATTTATATAGATCCTGGATGTTTTGTACAGAAGCAGAGACCCTTTCACCCCCTCCTCTCTAGACTCAACCAGCTGATTCCAACTGTATTATTATGATACACCAAAGTGGGATATCAGAGTAACCACTGAGGAAAATGAGCTTGTTCCCCGCCTGGAGCTCAGGAGAGGGAAGGGGCTCTGTCATGCTGTTCCAATTGTTGTGTTCTGGTCCCTACGTGAACAGCTGTTTGAATTACCCAGCTTCTCCTGTGAGATTGTAGTGCAGTTCCAACGGCCCAGAAAGCTCAGTATGCAGCCTCCTCTGCCCCAAGACTCTGTCCCCAGATCGAGCTGAGGCTGGTCTCCTTGGTTCTGTTGGCCCTTTAAAAAATACTTGTACAGACAATCCTTTCCTACCCGTTCCCCAAAGACCCCAATAAAATAACATGGGAGCAGCGGCTGCTTCTACAGTTTCGTTTTTGAAATGGTGTTAGATAAAATAAGGGAATAAATAGGGAATGGGTAAGAGGCATAATCTCCATCCCTGTGTCACACTGCCAGAGGGAGCTCCAGGGAAGGCTCTTCAGGGGGCCGGTCCTCATTCTGCCGTGCGGTCTCCACCACACAGCCCTCTTCGTTGTCCGTGCGCAAGGGGAGGTTTGAGGGGCACCAAGAGGGGCGGTAGTCTTCATCCTCAGGCTCCTCGGGGTTACGATCTTCGGGCACTAGAGCTTCTAGAGTGGATGTTTTCCCCACCTCTGACTTACAGAGGGCAGCCGGGTCTGTGGGGCCACAAGCCACCAGTGAGGTAACCGGGAGAGAGAAGACACTCAGATCCTTCTCCTTGGGGAACGAGGGCGGGACTTCTTCCGTACCAGGCTCTCCTTTCGCCCCCAGGACTGGCCTCTGCTCCACCTGGTAGTAGACCAGGGGCCCACTGTTCAAGTAGGATGGGTTGTTCACGGCTGAGGCAGTTGGCTGGTCTGAGTTCTCGGCAAAACACAGCACGGAGGAGCCTGGGGGCAGCTGAGCCTGGATGAGGATGGGGGCTGTCAGGCCTGGGCACAGCTCTTCGGGAACAGCCAGGGGCTCCTCCAGGATGCACACGCCCAGGCTCTCCATGCTGGAGTCCAGGCTGGCACTGGAGCCGCTCGGGTCCTCCTCCGCCTGGAGCCGCTCCAGCTCCTCCGCACTCTGCAGGTGCAGCACCGCCGTCTCATTCTCAGCGATGAACTCCTGGAAGTCCTGTGTCTCTGAGCCCTGTGCTGCCGCCAGGCTGCAGCTGGCAGCGGGGGAGGGCTCCTCGTCTGGGGCTGGCGGGCGGCTCACCTGCCGCTTGCTCTCCAGCTCCAGCTTCATGATGGTGTGGAGGTAATGAGTCCGGACCCGGATTGGGTTGAATTCAATGCGCCCAGCCATGTTCCCACAGCCGTCCCGGGAGCAGCCACATGGAAAGGACATGCGATCCACCTGAGGAGGGGACAAGGAGGTTGAGGCCAGATGAGATACGAGACGTTAGCTGGCGAACACAGGGAGTCAGGGTTTGAGGTCCTCTTACAAGAGAAACAACCAATTCAAAACACAAGCTGCAGCGTGAGCTACCAGAGCACTAGATGGGAGTTATCAGACCACCTGCCTTTCCATTCTAGCACAGCCACTAATTAGTAGTGTGACCTCAAGAAAGTCATTTCTCTCTCTAGGGCTTTGTTTCCTCTTCTAAATAAAAAGAAGACAAAGATCACGTCAAAGGGCCCTTCCAGTCAAAAGACCAGAGATACCTCTCTGAAAGCTGACGGTTCTCAGAGAAAAGAAATGTGTATGCCTCAGAGACTTTTCCAGAACCTACCTACTTTATTAAGAAAACAAAAGGCCAGGGCCCAAGCCTACTGTGTTCTTTGATGACAGGGATGGGAAAGGAGGTAGAAGATCTCGCTAGTCCAAAGCAATACATAATGGGGAAACTAGGCAAAGGTGCCTTTGCCAAGGTGCTATAGTGAAGGTTCGAACAAAATAATGACCAGCTTTTCACTACCTGCTTCATTTTCCCTTGATGGTTGGCCAGCTTGGTTTGGAAGCAGTTATCAAGATAATTAACTTCTACACCAGGGATATCTGGAAAGGAGATGCTTTCTACCTCCTCATCTCCCTTTTGAATCCCCCAAATGAAAACACCCCATACGTATCAAAAATAAAATTAAAAATGTGAGAAGACAAGTCTTCTGTACAAATACAGTGTCTTCCTATGAAATCAACTTCTAGAACTCTCCCTTCCAGTTCTTAGGAACAATCCATTTCTTAGGACTGTCCTCAGGTCTGTGTGTAACAGAGTGATTCATTACAGGACTCAGTCTGAAAAGCATTATCTGGTCGGACCTGCTATAGCTATCTGATACCAACCTGAAAATAAGAAAGAAAAGGTTAAGATAAATCCAACCACAAGGACTCAGCACCACAGCCTCAGTATACAGGTTCCAGATAAATTTCATTCTTTGGGATGGTACTGCCATTTTCAGTTGAGATGTGTCTTCCAAACTGTCCCTTGTCAGAAGGCCCTCTGGGGGATGATGCTTTCTATCTCTTAGGACACTACGGATTTAAGCCCAAATCTGATCCTGAGTTAGATTCTGAGGACTATTCTGATTTTTACAAAATTGGAGTAGAGGTACTGTGAATAAGTGTTTGTAGGATAAAATCTAAAGGCCTACCTCAGTTCTCTGCTTCCACTTACCTCAAGGAATCAGTCCACATTCAAGGACAGCTATTAAATATTAAACTCACTAACCCCCGTTCCTCCATGTGCCAGCAACTGCTGCTTATCACCTCTGAAGTGAGATACACAGAAAAAAAAGATCATCGCTATCTCCACAGCCTAAGAATCCCGTCATGCTTGTTTTCTTTGCCGGTGGAGGAGGGCTGTAGAACTGAAGTGTTCGCCTGCGCATGGGCACCTCCCACACTCACTGGCACCCACACTAGGCCCCCCTGACTCTAGGGTGGATATACCATCACAGCAAAATGTGGACCGACCTGGCATTTAATCCCAGCCTGGCTACAGGCACACGCTTCTGGGTCACAATACAGTCGACAGTCACAACCACACTCTTCCCGTGACAGTCGGATGGCTCGAAGCTCTTGCTTCTCTTCAGCATCAATGCGGTGGACCCCAGAAGCCCTCAGCAGGGCCCGTCGCCGTTTGGTGGGCAGAGGCTGCAGGAAGAAGTAATCATCCACCTCCACGTTTTCCACATCAATATCTTCATCTGAAACATCATCCAATGTCAGGCAGTCGGCCTCCACCGACTCCACTGTCCCGTTCTTGGTCAGCTGCCAAGAGACAGAGCATCATCAGCAGGAGCCTTCCCACCGGGTGCACCTAGAGCAGCTTGGGCCAAGTGAACTTTCTGCCATGACGGAGGTATCCGTGCAGCCCATCCCGACGCACGTGTGGCTACCGAGCACTATAAATGGGGCTAGTGCAACTGAGAAACTGAACTTTTACCTTTATTTAATTTTAATTACGTATAAATAGCCACTAGTATGGCTGGTGGCTACCGTACAGGATAGAGTCGGTGAAGAGAACAGTTCTAGAGCAGGAAGACAGGAAGCCTGTGCAGCTCTAACACCAGCCCGTCAACACAAGGGACGTCACCTTTCTGGATCAACGCTTCTTAAAACCTCTGTCTCACCTTCCCTCCCAGAAGATGATCTTTTCCCACAAATATACCCTCCATTCCCAGGCTTGTGTCCCTTAGCTTCGGCTAACCTGCCTTCTCATACACGGAAGAAGAGAAGGTATTTCAATGGCTGGATGTTCCTTGGATGTAAACAACCATGCAAAACACCCTTCAGTTTGCACCCTAAAGGACCCCAAACCACACTGTGGGAAGAAGAGTACATTAAAGTATAGCACAAGACTACCTACCAGTCTTTGTCAATGAACCTGAATCCCCACAGTGTGAGTAATTATCTGTGCATACACAGAAGAGCTTCATTTTATGTGGAGGAGAAAAAAAATGAGGAAGTTATTAATAATGGCTGTCAAGAAAGCCCTCACTTCCAAGCCACGGCCTAGAAGAAATATATTCTTTCTCCTTTCTTTTGTTTTGGCCGTGCCGCGTGGCTTGTGGGATCTTAGTTCCCCAACCAGGGACTGAACCTGGGCCCTCGGCAGTCAAAGCACCAAGTCCTAACCACTGGACCACCAGGGAATTCCCTCTTTCTCCTTCCTAATCCTCTTTTATTTGGTTTCAAAAAAAGTCTCTGTGTGAGGCAGGGTGGCATACATGATACTGAGTGTACTGTCTGCAGGCAGAAATCTGGGTTCTCTGGATAAGAAGGACAGAGAGCCAGGAAAGCGGATCTTAGTGGAAGGACAGGCTGAAGACAATCTGTGGCTGAATGAGTTTTGAAAACTCACTAGAGAATTCAGGTAAAGAAAACGAGGCCTCACAATCCCCAGGGCTCTGGAAGGTACGAGCAGGATAAACGCCAAGCTTTTGGCAGGTTTGGCTTATTTCATCAGCCAGCCAGAAAAGTGCTGGTAAAGGAACAACTCCTGGGAGAGACGTGATGCAAGAGACCTGGCTAGTAAGGCATACACCTGTTTTGTTTGTTTGTTTGTTTGGGGGGAGATGATAAGAGAAATGAGAGAAATAAAGTGGTGCTTCTGGGGATCCCCTAGACTATTATTTCTGTCCCAGGCAGGCCAACTACGAGGGGCCTTTCCACAGACCTTAGCATTGCTCCTGCCTGTTTCACCAGGGTTGGCCTCCTCCGAAGCACCCTCCCTCCTTGCTATCCTCTCAAAGGAAAGAGATGAGACATGCAATAGAAAGAAACCCATGTAGATATGAGAATTTAATATATTCTAACAGAGGTGGCATTTCAAATCAGTAAGGAAAAGACTCTTCTAGTCAACTGTATATTCTTTTGAATATACAACGGTATATTCAAACTGTATATTCTTTTGAAAAAAAAGAATATTCTGTATTCTGTATATTCTTTTGAAAAAAAAGTACAACTTTATATTCTTTTGAAAAAAAGAACTGTATATTCTTTTGGGACAACTGTATATTCTTTTGAAAAAAAAGTAAGTTAGATTCCCAATTCATACTATTCATAATAATGAATTCCATATGGATAAAAGGCCAAAAAAAGTAATAAAAATATTAGAAAAATTATAGGTACTAATACTGATGCAAAGCAGCAGCAGCTTTTTTTTGGAGGGGGTGGAAGTCCAAAGGGAAAACAAATATTAGATGGCATATGGGAGATGCAAAATGTATATTTTTTGAGACCAACTGCCTCCCCTATAGAGTGCTGAAGAAGGAAAAATTTCTAAGAAAAGAGTAAAGTGGACCAAAGTAAGGGTGTTCTCTCGACATAGAAGATGTATTAGATGCCACCACTGTGCTGCTCACTAAATCTGCTTAATAAGTAGCAGTCCTGTTTCTCAGTCTCAAGTTTGCCTGGCTTTGTCCCTAGACCTCCTACAAGGGAGGACACAGAACAGGGTGTCTGCTTTGACATGTCATCCCTCTACCAGATTTAGGGGAGATGTTTCTTCTTAGGGAATAGGAAGAAAACCTTCATTACAAATGATAAGAAGAGTGTTTATCTGCCCACCTGTTGCTATAGCAGCAGGAAGGTGATAGGGTCAGTGACGGAATTCCTCAGACAGAAGAAAGGGAAGCCTGAATGTCATTCTAGTTAGAAAAACAGGTGTTAAGTCTTTAGGCGTAGACTTCGGGCAGCAGACATAGAGCTCTCAAAGGGAGAGAGCAGCGAGATCTGGTTCACATACATCCTCTGCCACCAGTTCTCCAACCCTACCACATTCTGGTGTGTCTCATTAGGATTTCACCCACAACACTGGAAATAATGCAGCCACCTGTTTTAATGTGGGTCCGCATACTTTGAGCCCAGAAGAACTTGGCCAGGCCTGAAGCAGTGTTCTCCAAATTTGGAACTAGGAACTCTGGGGGCAATTTTTGCAGACCGGTGGAAACTATGGCTGTGGAGTGCCAAGCAGCGCTGAGAGCAAATGTGTAGCTATAAAGAGCCGTCTGAGATGGGTCTTCCAGCCCTGTTCTCCTCCTAAACTTGAAGAGCTGGTGTGGCATCAGACTGCAGGCCCAGTACTAAACAGATCGAAATAACTATTTGGTAATGCTATTGTTTATACCCGAAAAACTATCATCTAGCAATGGGAGTTACAGAATCAGCAGGATCCTTTCAGAGGATGTAAAAGATCCCAAACCTGTTCTGTGCATCGGGCCAATGGACAATCATTTGACGAGAAACTGAAACACTGCTTCCTCAGGGTCCAGGGGTGGCAGACTTGAATACCTTCAGGTATTCACACTTTAAACTTTAAAAACACTTGCAGAGCGGGCGAGAATAGAGAATTCTAGGGAAGCCATTTTGCTATCTCTGCTAGACTCCCTACCAGAGACAAAAAGAATGGCATCTCAGACTGAGATTTGAATCCAAATCTGAGATTTCTCACTAGAAAGATACGGAATCTCTATGTACCAAAGGCAACAGTCCAAAAACAAAACAAAACAAAAGCACCACATGATAGACCTAGATGGTTTCCTGCTTTATCTTGGCACATGGGAAGTACCAGACCCTAGACCCCTTAGGCACCTTCATCTTCTTGGCGTGGAGCTTCTCCTCCTTCAGGTGTTCACGGAGAATCTCCCGATGGTTCACCTCCTGCTCCTGAGCAAACTCACAGAGCGTGTAGCTGCGTACAGAGTTATGGCGCTGGGCCATGCCCAGAGAGCTGCCGCCCTGGCTGGGCACGCTGGTGAAACCCTGGCGCCGGGCAAAGTAGTACACAGTCACCTGGTCAAAGCGCACATTCTTCCTCCGCAGCTGCTTCTGCCGCTTCAGGATGGATGTGGCTGAGAAGGGAGCACAGAAAGAAAACTTTTAACCCAGAGATGGCCTGTTTGGGGACCTCATTCTTTCTCATTCATCTAGGCTCTCAACTCTTCTCCAAAAGTGCTCCCTGTATCTAGAGACCTTCCTAATTTTCAAATCTTAAAAGCACAGTGGGAAGGGACCTTGACCATCTGCTGGTCCACACCACTGCCTCCAGACTGACTTCACCCAAACAGATGATCACAAAATCTATTTTTAGACATCAGCTGGGAAGAGAATCTCTAGGTAATCTTTTCAGGATGTAACAACCTACATAGCTTCACTGTCCAATCCAGCAGCTACTAGTCACATGTGGGCAATTTAAATTAATTAAAGTGAAATAAACCTTAACATTTAGCTCCTCCGTTACACTAATACAACTCAAGTGCTCAATAGCCACATGTGGCTAATGGCTATCATACTGGACAGTGCAGATATAGAACATTTCTATGATAACAGAACATTCTTTTGGACGGTGTTTTGTTGTTTTGGCCGCACCACATGGCTTGCGGGATCTCAGTTCCCTGACCAGGGACTGAACCCGGGCCACAGCAGTGAAAATGCCGAATCCTAACCACTAGACGACCAGGCAACACCCCCTGGATAGTGTTGCTCTATAGCAGGAGATGGCAAACTTCTTCTGTAAAGGTCCAGGTAGTAAATATTTTAGGCTTTGCAAGCCATGAGGTCTCTGTTGCCAACTACCACTCAATTCTGCCACTGTAGCATGAAAAGCCATCATAGACACTGGGTGTGGCTGTGTTCCAATAAAACTTTATTTACAAAAACAGGCAGTGAGCCAGATTTAGCCCACAGACAACCCCCGATCTACAGAATCCGAAGTTCTTTCCAAGAAACTAACTGAACCATAAGAATTAAGAAGTGTGGAGATGCCCCAGCTGTCCAGGCAGTAAGCATTTATGTCCTGCTAGAGCTACAATTTTGTGGAACTCTATAGGACTCTAGTGGGGAAGCGTAGACTCCCAGACAACTCCTTCTTCAGTTTAATTCAACCCATTCTGGGGACTCACAAAGCACAGCACAAGTAAAATCAGCTAGAATAATTCACATTTAATATAAGTCTATGATATTAGAGCAATGAGGTCCTCCAAAGAGCAAGGCTGAGCTACGTGTGGGAGAGATTACGAATAAGGGCAAATCCCCAAGCTGGACAAAGGGTGTCTCAAAGAGCTGCAATGGGCTCCGATGCTTGGGGTACATGGGGGTAGGCAGGCAGGGAGCAGCTCACTCACGTGTGAAGCTGGCAGTTGTGGGAGGACTGAGGCTGTCGCAGCTGTCAGCGCTGTCACTGCTGGAGATCTCATCATCGGAGTTGGAAACTGATGAACCCACATCCACATCATCAAACTTCCTCTTGAGACCCGAGCCCGTGAATGCATCCATTGGTTTCAAAGGGGTTTCCTTGGGGAACCCACCACGTTGGCCCCAAAGCCCCTGCTCACCACCAGTCAGCCAGGTGCATTAGGATTCTGCCCAGGGGAAAAGAGGAATCAGCACTCCGGTCCTAAGACAGACCCCTCCCAAGTCTATACACACGGCTCTCCAACTGAAGAAAGCACCCGAGCTAGCACTGATGTCTGCTCTCTAGAAACAAGGTCATCTCTCTCCAGCCAGCACTCTCCTACTTTTGTCTCTCCCCAGCCCTCCAGTCTCAGTCACTCTTAGGATAATGAGATGACTAGCGGCAGCACCTTCCCAGTGGAGTGAAGGCCTTTGCTTCCAAGCCGGCTGGCCTCTAGGCTTCATTAGCCCTGGGGTAACAGTAGCTGCTCTTCTGCTCACCCAGGAGAGCTCTCCACGGGGTCAGCAGGAGGGACTGGGGATCAAAGGCAGAATTAGGCTGTGCCTAAACCTAGACTAGATCCAATTATTATTCCTAGTGGAAATACAGCCTGGCATTTCCTAAAGCGTATCCATTAAATAAACTAGTTCCATAGATATTAATAGCTTTTACATGGAAATGGAACTGCTGTGTCAAAATACTTTAGAAAACTGCTTATGGAAGACCTTTTAGAGGCTTTTAATATGCTAATGAACCTGGTGAAGGGTGGGAGGAAATAGAATGCAGCGTTTTGCACCCATGATTAAGGAACCCTTTGTTTCTAGAGTATCTTGGTGGGGGGCAAATGATCCTGGGAACACACTTCGGGAAATACTGCTCTAGGCTTTCAATTTCAAAGTACATTGGCAGTCAGGGAAATGCTTTACCCAGATCTTCACAAATGTAAAGTGTCTCACCAGCCTCCTAAAAAGGTCAAATTGGGTTCTAAAGAATGGACTGAAGATTAGAATCTGCACTGGCTTCAAAACCCAGACTCTTTCCCAATCGCCTACTGCTCCATAAAATAGGGCTCAGCTGACGTGCCATCATCCTCTGTGCAAGGAAGACGTAGCTTTACAATCTTTGCCCTCTATAAAGAAACCAGCAAGGGCACAACAAACAGCAGAAGGAGTGACAATTTATTCTGGTTACACTGATATGGCAGGCAGTGTTTTCAACATGCTGCCACACAACCAAGGAATCTGGGATATTCCATTTCCCAGGTACAAATCTTTCTCCTCCATCTTTGGACTTAAGTTCCCAAGGATATGAATCTGCTCAGCAGAAACGCTGTCAAAGCTGGAGCCACAAGTGATGATCTGAAACCTCCCTGCTTTTGCCTCAGTAATGCCAGAATCTCCCCAGACTATGATCTCACTAGTTGCTAATTATGCAGCAGGAATAACAACACTGCCCAGAAAGCCAGGGCTGCATTACTGCAGAGCAGCTACCCAGAATATACTGTGGTGTCAAGAGATGCCTGCTACAGAGCTGTTTTTCTGGACTGTCTCTTGGAAGCGATTTGCCTGCTCTTGGGTCAGCTCTACACAGTCAACCAGACCTAATAAGTACTTTAGGAACTTCCTAATTTATCTAGCCAGATCTCATCAAAATTCTGCATTCAAGTCACAAGATGCACCTAAGAAACCTGTCATCATAGGTCTCAGAAAAGCACATTCCTGAAATAAACTGGCCAGAAAGAAAATAATCAAGCACTAGATAAGAATTGTAATTAAATTTAAAAATGAAACCAAAGTATCAATTTTGTTCTTCAGGTTACTGATCTTACCATCAGAGGTCACATTCCTAGGACATGGGTAAGAATGGAGACAGCCAAGGACTTTTATGGGTTAAGATTTCAGCTGGGCTTAAAGATACCTATTAACTAACAAATTTCTCATTCCATTCTATTACCAGGGGAGTACATATGTGGGTGGAATAAAAAAAATAAAAGAATGTTGACCACTGAATTTAATATTTCCTCCCCACTTAAAAATCTTATCGACCACACGAAAAAGCAGACTGAGCTCAAAATCCTTCTCAGAAAGGACGTAAGTCTGGCTTCAGTTTTAACTAAGATCCAGTTAGTGTTGCTACTAGGAAGTGCCTTTTTCCTCAGCCTGGAAGCACTCGGGGATTGACAACTGGAAGCAAATGTGCACCCCGTCCTTTGTTCAGGTGTCCCTTTGCTTCCGGTAGTGTGGTTGCCTTTGAATATTTCCTTTTAAGCCCTGCGGGAGGCTGGGTCTGGTCCAAGATCATCTTTTACTATGAGGATTCTCCACTGTCTTAACCCAGGTGCCCTCAGGGTATCCCTTCTCTTCAGGTCACTTTTTGTGCACTCTCTTGCAGCCAGGATTGCAGGCTGCTTGTTCTATTCTCTTTCTCTCTTTTTTCTACGTCTTCCTCACTTCCACTTCTGGAGTAGAGATTTCTGGGCAATGACAGGAGGCAGGTAAGAAAGTAGAAAAAAGATGTGAAACCTAGAAAAAAAGTATTTTCCTTAAAATGTCTGAACGGCTATATATGTAAATAATGTCCATATTGACTGAGCTCTCTTTACCCTATCCAGGATGTTAGCATCACTTTTTCTGCCATTAACCCATTCTTAAAAAAAAAAAAAAAAAAAATCCGACGATTCTGTCCTGACAACCAATATAAGTTTATATTTCAACCCAGCTCTCCTCATCCAACTCTCTGGTGTGAACTTGACTTGTTAGATAAAGATGTCCACTGGGCACCAAGAAACCTCCCATCCACTTCCACTGTGGCCTGAAGAAATCTTTCTCTGAAATAGCAACAACAAGAATGGGTTCCACTTTCCAGTTCATCAATTCAACTTCCTTTCAAACCACAATTAGAAGTCAGTCATTCCCACTTCTCTCAACTATTTATTCACTGGCAGAGGATCAGTGCTTATGTTCGAGAAAAACACAGTCTAAGTTATACTCCAAGCACTTAAACCCATACAGAAATAAACACGATGAGACTGGAAATGCAGGTCATAACTGACAGTTAACTGTCAAAATGATGAACTCAAACAACAAATGCTTTTGGAGAAAATAACGCAAACCTCTATAAAAGCTTTTATGCCAGTAAAATGAAAGGTCAACTGACCCTTTCTAGCTACATGTCTTTCTGTCTTTTCTCAAGTGTTTCTACTAGTTGAACATTTCCCAAAGGTACATGAAATAATTTAGATCCATAGTATATAGAGGTTTTTAGGCTAGCACCAAATAAAATAGATCTATATCATATCTGTACTTTAGTATTAGACTTAAGCCTTTTCAGGCCTATGTGGATTCCTATAACCACCCCCAAAAACAAAAGCCCAAATACGTGAGACTAGCAAAAAAGGAACTGCCCCTTCCCCCAATTTTGTGGAGGCAGAATGTATTGACAAAGTTTAGGTAATGACAGCCTCTCTCATAAATGAGTCCAAAATAAGACATGGTACATCTCACAGGGGAAGGCCTCTCTACTCAAGTGAAACCCAACCTGCTAAAGGTCAAGGGCCAAAAATCTCTAGTAAGATCGTCAGTGCTACCAGCTGTAGGGTTAGAGGAACGAAGACTTGCTGCTGCTAAGTGTCAGGATCAACCTAAATAAGATGACAGGTCCTGTTTCTCCTTTTACAAAACACTGTGAGTTGCTTCTCAAATACTATGAATTTCGTGGATCCATGTGTCCGTGTGATTACCAGGATCGTGCACTTACAAAGTGCTCAAGTGAAAACATCTTGTTTAAACTAGGTATTTCAGGGAAGCCCCCCTCCAACCGTCACTCCCTGCTTTTTATCCCTTCACTGACACAAGGTTAGAATTTGGCTTTCCATGTTTAACCTCCCATCGTATGAAGGACATGAGATCTTTGTGGTAGAAATGGAACATGATGCTGCAGGAGCCATTAACGCTCAAGGATATCCAGTCATTTATAACTCTGGCACACACCAACATCCTCCTGGCTTTGGACATTTGCAAAATGGAAAGTCAGTAAAGAAAAGGAAAATATGAATCAACTATGGATTTACCTTGAACTGAAAACTGCAGGACAAGGGGACACTGTGTCTCTTAGGGATAACTTCTAACGTTTCATACTGAAGAACGGTTTGTGTGTCACACTGCCACTCTAAACCCCTTTAAAAGGATGAATCAAGACCATAGCACTAAAAGGAATGGATGGCAGTCAGCTGCGTGTTTGGGCCTGTGAAAAAAGATCAAGCTAGCAACCAGGGAAAGTGATGCTTTCGTTTTCCCACACAACGCCAGAAAAAATGGGAGACATCAGGAACCTGGGTTGAAAGGACATGTCAAGTCACCAGTTCCCCTTAACGGACACCCCCGCTGAACCCTTCAGCTCCGGGGCACCTTTCCTGATTCCTGCTAACCTTCCCGCTCATTCCAATCGTCTGCAGCCCCTACCCGGTTTCCCATCCCTTCCTGCCTGCTACTCACAAATTCCCAACCACTCCTCCCACATTTTCCTCTATTTCCCCCCTCCCCTTCCTTCACTTCCCTCCATCGTACATCATCTCCACTCCATTCCGAACTCAACCCGCATCCGAATTCCTGCCGGCTTCTAAGCCCGCCCGTCGGTCTCACTCAAGCTGCCCCCGCAGTCCGGGCCCGCGTCCTCCGTGCCCCTCGCTCCCACGCCTCTCCCGACTCCTTCCCTTCCCAGCGGCGCCCTAGCTCCCCGCCCCCCCCGCCGACCGCTCCCGTTCGTGGCTCCCTCATTTCTGACCCCTCCATCCCCGCGGCTCTGGGTTGACCACTCCTCCACAGCTGCCGGGAGGCCGATCCCGAGAAAGGACAAGGCGGCACCCTCCGCCCCGCACCCCCAGGCCCATTACCGGCTCCGCCGCAGCTGCCTCCTCCCGTGACGGTCTCTGCCACCCCCGCTGCCGCCGCCGTCGCCGCCCTAGCCCGAGTGGGAAGAAGGGAGGAGAGAGCGAGTCCCGGGGCCGCGGAGACGGTCTGGGAGTTCCCAAGGCGGCAGGGCGGGGAGAGACGGTGGGTGGGCAGGTCGGCCGGCAGGCGGCGGAGGGCGGGCGGCGCCGGCAACTCGGGCGCCCCCGGCAGCAGCCGCCCAGAACCGCCCCGGCTCCGGCTAACAATAGGCTTTGGCCGCAGCGCTCAGGGTCTTATAGGCGCCGGCACGTCCGGACCGAGCCCCGGGGCAGGCTGGGAAATGGAGTCTACGTGCCGGCCCCAAGCCCAGCGGCATGCCGGGAGTTGGAGGCGGCTGCCAGCGCAAAGCCGAAACTCGCCCGCAAACAGGCTCAGGAGGCTGTGAGTCCGCAGCAGCGGACCCTGGGAAAGCAAACGAGTTGACGCCACAGCAGCCTTTTGAAGAGGAAAAGCGGAGACCCTCAGCTACAGATCTTCGGTGATTAAACAAATTCTCCTCTATAACTCCCCTTTTCCTTTCGCCAGGCCCACACTCCCATGCCTAAGGAACTTAATCCCCCTTATCCTTGCTCAGGGGATCTAAGTCTTAAGCAGCATGACGTGCTGCAGCCTGCCCAAGGTATAAAGAAAATACAAGCAATGCAGAGTAATCTCAATATGTATTGATGGATTGTTTTCCTTCCAGAAATTTCTTACATGACTTCTGATCTTCACAACTGTGCAATCCATTTTCAAAACGGGAAAGACTCAGAAATCAGAAGTTGTTACGTCTAGAGTCGCTTATTCACCATATTTCATTGTCTTGATAGCATCACTAGGTAAGTTATTACAATGGTGCCAGTTCGCCCCTTACTTCCCCGTGCCTTGGCTTCCTCATCTGCAAAATGGGGATAAAAGTATGTATCTCATAGGGTTTTGTGGAGATTAAATAGTTAGTAGTATAAAATGTTTGCAACACAGTGCAATGTGTTTTTCCTGGCCACACAGAAATCAAAAAGGAAGAGAAGACCCCAGACTCTGTAGAATCAGCGGGCTGAGTACAAGAAAAGCAGCCTAAAGGCCATGCTGGGCAGGCTAAATTGTTTCATATGCCTACACATCTAGAATTTGAGCAGTCATAGAAATTTGTCAGAGTACCATCAGCCTCAATGCCCAAGCTTTGTTGGTTAATGACACCAAACTAGAAGACAGCCAAAGCAAAGTTAGGCACATCCTTTGAGGAGACAGCAGAATCCAAGTTGGCAGTAATCTCTAGATCAGTCAAAAAGATCATCTGGACTTACAAACATCCCAACTACTTATCACAGAGTCGCTTATTCACCATATTTTCATTGTCTTGATAGAATCACTAGGTAAGTTAAGCTTAAGTGCAGTAGAACAGAAGATACAAGGAAAAGTGAAAAGAAATGCTAATATTATTAATATGTAAATTATAACAATGGACATCTAATTCTAAATGTGACTGCTTTGTTCCAGACCATGCATAATTCATGCATGGGTGTGTTTTAGGGACAAAAAAGTCAAGTAGGAAGAAAAGACAGATGATCAAGAACAGATGAAGATGAAAACCAAAGGTCAGATTTTATGTCCTGGGCAGTGTTTATACGTCTGTCTTGCAGTCTTGTCTACATGTAAAGGTGATCTTGTAGTCAATAGTATCCTAAATTTATTAAGCAACTGAATAAGTATATTACGTACAAAGTAAAACTGCTTTATACTCATTATCCTTTGCAATCTCCCTAACAACCCTATGAATTAAGCATTATCTCCTTTTTAAGATGAGAAAGTTAAGGTTTAAGAGATTATATTGTCCAAGGTCACATCCAGGAAGAGCAAGATCTGGGATTTGAACAGTGGCTTATCTGACACCAAAGTATGTACTCCATCAACTACTCTTTACCAAACAAAAGATAAAGAGTACACTCTCCAGGGAGGTTGAAAATGAATAGATCAGAGGATACTATGTGCTGAGCTTCTTAGAGAAAAAGAGTCAAGTAAAATCTAAGCCATTGCATGTACTTCCCTGGTGGTCCAGTGGTTAAGAATCCCCCTGCCAATGCAGGGGAACACGGGTTCGATCCCTGGTCAGGGAACTAAGATCCCTCGTGCCATGGGGCAGCTAAGCCTGCATGCCACAACTAATGAGCCTGCATGCCACAACTAGAGAGAAGCCCGTGCACTGCAAGGAAGAGCCCACACGCCACAATGAAAGATCCCACCTGCCACAACTAAGACCCGATGCAGCCAAAAAATAAATAAATATTTAAAAAAAATTTTTTTTAAAGCTAAGCCATTGTATTTGTTTTTCTGATAGGGAGTTCGTAGATTTAGCCCTGAAGTTGTATGTTACTTTACTAATTTACATTTAATTAGAATCCAGATCTAGAGAGACAGGCACCTCTTTGTGACTAATTCCACACTAACCAAGAGAGATCAATAGAGCAAATCTAGAGCAAAAAAGACGGGGCCACAGCAATTTAAGAGCACAAAAAATCGAAGAAGCTGTGTGTTTTATCAAGGAAGGTTTCACAAATTGATCTATATATGTGCATAACACACACAAAAACCCTATTAAAAAAGCAAAATAACAGGTTTGAGGGGGTAGAGTGCAAGGGTGAGTTTAGAGAGGTCAAGCTTAATAAGCTTAAAAAAGGTGAATGAAAGTCTGAAGTAAAGTTATAAAGATGTCTAGGGAAAGATATTAACTAAACCCTTAAATGAAAAATTGGACATTAGAACTCAGAAAGAGGGGATTCCCTGGCGGTCCAGTGGTTAGGACTCCGTGCTCTCACTGTCAAGAGGCTGGGTTCAGTTCCTGGTCAGGGAACTAAGATCCCACAAGCCACATAGCACAGCCAAAAAAAAAAAAAAAAAACTCAGGAAGAAACCAGGAATCTGTAGTGATTAAAATGAGGAATGTGTATCTCATCTTATGCAAATATATGAAAACACAGATTTACAAGATAAACTGGTTATTACTCATGTCCCAAAAGATCCTATATAATACAAAATAGTACAATAATACAATAAGTAATAGTATTTTTTAAATAGCAAGTTCCTTTATAAAATTGACTTTAATCCAATTGAAAAATTTAATTCATATACAACTTTTAAATCTCTGAATTTGAGAATGCAAATGCTAGACATCGTTGCAATTTCCAAATTAATTTGTTGAACAGGCCAGAATTCATAAGGAACAATGCAGAGGAGATCTGGAAGTGAAGAGGAAAGATGTGGAAAAAAGAAGGAAGTAGAAATAGATGGAAATTCAAGGTCAAAGGCAAAATACAAAGTCCTTAAAGAAGCATAGAGGAGAAATAAAGTATTAACAAAACAGAAAACAAGTGCTGATGGCATTAACCTCACATCACACAGGGCATCTTTCTTCCTTATTTAAGTCTTGGAGTTTGTATAATGAAACAATAATTTAATCACAAACTAAAAATAAATATTCTAGCAGGAAAAGCCTTAGGTCACGACTAAGAAAATAGAGCATTTTTAGGAGAAGCAGAAGAATGAAGCAGGATTACTTTATACGAACTAGTATATAAAAAGGTGCAGCTAGGTGGGGCATTTGTGCCATTCCTGCTGAGACTTGGGAGTTCTCATAACAGAGCAGCAGAGGCCATAACAGATCAAATTCCCATACAGGAACCATCCATGGCCAAGTAAGACAACTAAAGATTCAGAAAAATGATAAAAAGGCTCAACTGCAGCTCTCAGGTCCCAAGTTATCTGGAATTGTTAGGTATTGGCCAGAGAAAAAAGCTTCAGTGAAGGAGGAGAAACTCGGTCTCGTTTTCAAATATTGGCACCTGAAATTTGTGTTACTTTCAAAACTGAATGCTGAAGCTTCAGTCAATCCTTCATGTAGTTTGAAGATAGCCCAAATCTCTGCAGCAACCCTATATGAAAGACTTCCTCAGGAGACTTGGAGATACAAAGGGTTTTCAGAACACTCTTTCATTAGGCCTAAATGAGAAATGGCGAGGCTCATTATGTCAAGCCTTCTTCACTTGCCATGCTCCTCCAACTCACAGTGGTGAGATCATGCCCTGCCCCTCACAGCGTACCCAGTGCCTGACTTCCAGGAATCACGTCTGCCCCCTCAAGAGAACCTCACCTTCTCAGGTCTTTCACTCTACTTACTTGTCTTATATCTGTCGTACTGTAATCTCTTTCCAGACAAGATGACCACCCCCATTTCCCCTCCCTTTAAGTGGCGTCTTAAGTAAATCATATATGTGGGCAAACATTCTTATTATTGGGGCATAATATTGAACAATCTTATTACTTAATACCCACATTTTACGTAGTGACTGGTATTCAGTCCTTAAGAGTTCTGCAGTGACCCTTTTACTTCCCAATGGCTCCCTTTTAACTATCAAGTCTTTATACAATAGATTCTTCTAGATGGAACCTATTATACTTCAAGGAAACAGTACAGACAATACTAAGTTAAACAGGATGCTACTCCACTTCTCAGGAGGGTCTAAAATCTAACCATTCTCCTTCTCATATACCCTCACCCTAATGGAAACATTAAACCATCTCCTTTATTTTAAATATCAACCATCACATGGTTAAAGAGGTAAAATCCAGCAAATTTTACTTTTAGGAATATATCTTAGAGATACACACAAAAAACTTATGAGAATACATGTTTAAATGGGCTTAACCTAAAAGGCATCCATAAGGAATGGCCATTTCTTTTTTCCAAAAGAATGATGTCAGGGCTTCCCTGGTGGCACAGTGGTTGAGAGTCTGCCTGCCGATGCAGGGTACACGGGATCGTGCCCCGGTCCGGGAGGATCCCACATGCGGCGGAGCGGCTGGGCCCGTGAGCCATGGCCAATGAGCCTGCGCATCCGGAGCCTGTGTTCCGCCACGGGAGAGGCCACAACAGTGAGAGGCCCGCGTACCGCAAAAAAAAAAAAAAAAAAAAAAAAAAGAATGATGTCAAACTATAAATCCTAACATAGAAAGATGTTCAAGACATATTAAACATAAAAAGAAAACTGCAGATCATTAGTACTACATGAGCCCATCTGGGTGTGTGTGTGTGAGAGAGAGAGAGAGAGAGGGAGGGAAAGAGAGAAACTTTTTTGCAATGGCTACCTCTATAGAGTGGGACAAGGAGATAAGTACCTTTCTTTATTGTTTGAATTTATCACTTTGTGTATTACTTTCATCATGAAAAAGCTAGTTTAAAATTTTCATTTAACTGCAAGGGTCAATAGTGAACAAATGCAATTTTTTAAAGCAAGTTGAATAATTACAATGTTCTATCACTACACCAATTCTTACCAATTATATGGCATTAGCACTATAAATATTTGTTTGAAGCTAAAGAAAGCCTAAGAGATTTTCTAGTTAATCTGAGGATCTATGATTACAAACTTACATAAATTCATTTCTATATAAATCTGAAAACTACTCTTAAAAAACCCTCTATCTCCAAGTAAAAATTAGTAAGTGTAAATTTATAGTAAATATATTAATAGAATTCTGTGTATCATTTACAGTAAACAAGAGTCACAGATTCAGATTTAGAAGGGACCGTAAAAGTCCAACCCTCCCAGCCTAACATTCAGAAAGAATTGGAATAAATAAATAAAAATAAAAAACAGCAGCCTACTGGGGAGAGAGCTGACTTCCCTGGGCTGAGAACCAGTCCTACGAACATAATACAATTAGAAATGTCCCCCCAGAATGGGGACATCTGGTAATCAGTCACTAAAAAAGTGTTTTGGCCTAATATGTCAAGTTGTCCAGGTCGATTTTAAACAAGTCATTTGACTTAATTTTCTGGTTTCAAAATTTTCAATTTCTTTCAAACCAAAAGAAAACAGACCATGTTGAAGGTGGATTTTAATGAACGAAAATCTCTGTATAAAAACATTTAAACTTTATCAAATGCTTTAAAAATACACACACACACAGATTCAAATCCAATACAGAATCTTTTGAACATTATCATTTTCACCTCAGCATAACATGTAGAGGGATTTCTGGATAAAACTTTACATGTGAAAAAAGACCCATAGTCTTACACATGCACACACACAAGAGCACACAATCACAATCAGGAAGAACTAAAGTATATGGTAAGAATGCAAACAGGATGGGAACGAATTTCTTGTAAAGCTTATATAAAAGAACGCTACATGAGTAAAAGAACTTTCTGTACCAAGAGAAGATGCAGAGAGGGGAAAGAGAAAGCAGAGGTTAGTCTAACTCACTAATAGTTTGAGAAGGTCATTCAAGAACAGTGAATTTGGGGAGCTACAGATAATCCCTAGTTTTCACCACCTCAAATTCTGTGAATCTGATAACTGATGATGCTTTGAAAGTGTCTATGTTTTCATTTTTTGGTAGGTCTTGACTTGTTCATCATTATTTAGGTGTGGTTCGTCCCTTTTGGTGTTAATTCCTCAGTTCTCGCTCAGTGTTAGATCCGAGACACCAGAAGAGCCACAGTAGGAAACGGTGGCAAGCACAGAGGACTGCAAGGGTGGCAGTCACGGATGGCAGTTAATAAGAGCCAGACGGCCTGGGTTTGCATTTCAGTGTCACTAGCTGTTAGCTGCCTGTTACTCAGCAAGCTCCTCGGCCACTCTGTCTCCATTTCCTCATCTTCAATTAGGGATCATTATTACCTACTGCATATAGGGCTATTAAGAGGATTTAAACAAGGTAATCTATTTAAAGAATTTATCACACTGCCTCACACAACTAAATGTGCAATAAATGTTACCTAAAATTACTATTAGTCATAGAATTACAGGGGAATCAAAAGAAGAATTTTCTTCTTTCTCCATATTTCTCTTTAATGAGGTTTTTCAGGGGCAAAAAAGGTTGAGGATCTAGTCTTATGAATATAGATGTTTGCTTTTATGTTAGAAAAAAAAATTACATGGCTCCATATCACAAAATTTAACATCTTTCCATTAAACATCACACAATTCTCATCATCATTATGTCCTACACACACCCTAAATGATGTGGAGTTTCTATTGATATTCAACAACAATAGGGTCCAGAAATTTTAAATAAGAAATCGTTGCAGAAATGCATGTTGGGCAATAATCTGTGGGTGCCCTAAGAGCCTGGGCCAACACAGATGCCTGGGATTCTGCCTCCAAGGCCTGGACACAGTCAGATGGGTAAGGTTCTTGCAGCCCTTCGAAGCTCCATTTGCGACCCCTTCAAGAGGGGAGTTCCCAATAGGTGAAAGCAGCAGCAGCCACTGAGGATGGAATGCCCCGCACCTACTTCAGTATGATGTGATAGCTATCATTGGTTTCTGCTGTAAAAAAAAAAAAGAAGAACAAAGAACAAAGAATAATCTTTAGTTACCTCTAAAACACAGCAGGAGAAAAATACATGTGGTAAGGTTCTTTAGAGAAAGAAAAAACAGAAGGACAGAGGGCAGTATACTTAATTATCACAGAATACTTGTAATAAACATGCATTATAAGAACAGCATGCCTCCGTTTCATCCTTTGTCCATGGAAGGTGGAAGAAAATGGCAGGAAGTCATCAGTTACACTGTCTACTCTAATAATGGCAAGAAGCCAATTCATAAAAAGGAACAATCTCTAATAATGTCACTTCCTTTACCTCAAATATGGCAGTTAATACTTTCCCTCTCTCCTCAAAGTACTATAAAAAAAACCCTCAAACTCCTTCGAGAAAGGCATTTGTCTTACTACTTCATTACCTTTCATTGTGTCCAGAATAAAACAGGCTTCTTCCTGAAAGTTCTGTATCATCTGAAAAAAGCAAGAAGTTTTGCTGATTATTAAAACCTTGGTTTGCTATATTTATTTTGCCTGTGTGTTTATTATACTAGATATAAGTGAAGAATAATCCTTTGTTTTGTTTTCTCTCCTATTTCGTTTTCAAAAGCTTTAAAAGCTAAGCATTCTAAAACAGCTTTCTTAAAATTCGAGTGTGCATTTTCCTGGGCTAACCCCCAAGACTTTCCAAGGGGCACACAGATACAGATAGGCCCATATGGGAGGAATTAAACTTCCATATCTGTTCTTTCCTAAAACCATCTGAGAACCTCTTCAGTCTTCCTTTCCCACTTCCCTTCTCAAACTCCCTTTTCCCATTTTATAAAATAAAGGCAAGAGTTTCACCTTCTTGAAATCCTATGAAGATGCACTGCCCTGGAGTATAAAAGCCTCCAGGATGCAGAAGTGTAATTGCAAACGGGAACTCAAATGACTGGGTAATAAAGTCTTATTTTCAATTCTTTCCTTTCACCAGAATTGAAGTGATCTAATCACAAATTGTCAAATGACAGATGATTCAAAATAATTTTTGATAATATCACTATGCAATTTTTGGCACATAACTCAGAAGTTAAAAAAAAAAAATCCAGCAATGCTGTTACAGCAAACTCCATCCATTCCTGTCTATCAATTTATATGGAACAGATTCCACAGCACTTATATCTAGGGGAAAAAAAACGGGATGGAATTGATGCTGAACTCTATTTCATTCTGGCAATCAACAGGCAGTATTTATCTATCGATGAATTAACTGTCTGTGGGAGGGAGGGTAAGGAATCGAGTAATCTCATCCATCTCATTAATAGATGCACTTTTATTGTATTTTATTTTATTTATTTATTTTTGGCCACACCGTACGGCTTGCGGGATCTCAGTTCCCCAACCGGGGATTGAACCCCAGGCCCTGGCACTGAAAGCTGAGAATCCTAACCACTAGGCTACCAGGGAACTCCCTAGATGCACTAATGCATTAATAAATTTTTTCTTAATGTTTAATAATTACTTATCAAAACATATAATACATTTATGTTATTTTAATCCATTGTATAATTATGGTGATAATTCTATTCAGAAGAGATAGTTTTTACTTTTATTGAAGCAAATTTTTGTTTTAAAGAAATATGGTAGGATAATTAATAAAAGATATTCAAGCATAAAGGTAGGTTATGGTAAGATGAAATTCTATGGAGGAAGTGAATGAAAATATGAGTTTAACGAAGCAGAGAAATGATATAAAAATTCTGTTAAAAAAGTATATTCATGTATTTTTTTAAACAGATGACAGTATTAAATTACTCTTGTATTTAGGTTACATGGAATATAGCTAGAGTAGTGAAGTAATCATTTCATTTTTAAATGTCATATAATATGCCCAGAAATGACATCTTTTGCAACTATTTAAACTTAAAACAAAAAATTTTAAGTCAACCTAAAAACGTGCAAGGGGATACACAGTTTTAAAACATCATTGTAGGAGGTAAGCAAACAAAAACATTTGAAAACCTCTTGTCTTAGAAAACAGAGCACTCTGCCCCAGTAGAACAGTTCCTGCTCCTGTCATCTGCCCAGACAAATCACTGTCGTCTGGTGAGTCAGCTGTGCTGAAAATCTACCTCGTCACTAATGAGCACATGGATTCCTGTGGGCCCCTGCTTGTAGATCTGGCTGATCTGGCAAGGGGAAATGCTGAAAAGCTGAGCGATTTTTTCTGTCAGTTCAACAGCTGTCAGTTCTTCTAGGTAGATGGCATGGTAAACTGCAAAAAGGAGAAAGCAAAGGCAGTCAGTACAAAGTGTCTCTGGTCTTAAATGTAATCTGATCACTAGGAATGCCCACTTTCCTGAAGGACTCAGAGGCAGACTGCCTGAATTGAAATGTCAGCTCAACCACTCGCTAGCTGTGTGTGACCTGGGGCAAGTTACTTAACATCCCTAAGCCTCATCTTCCTCATCGAAATGTTGGCAAAAACAATAAAATCTACTGCAAAGAGGAAACACCGGTTGTAAAAATTAAAACATGTAAACGTGCAGAGAATAGTGCCGGGCATATATTAGGAACTCAATAAACATTAGCAATTACCATATTCCTTCTAGCAAATGCTGAATCTGCTGTTTGATAAATTCCCATCACACATGCTCATAAGTCATCTCTTCATTTTTCTTCATATCTGTCCTGGCCTGTGCAGAACGACCTACCGAAGAAAGTACCATTTGAGTCTCCATCCTCATGCTTCTGCTGCTGCTGCTGCTGCTGTTGCTGCTGCTCCCTCAGCTGCAAGGATTCCTGACAAACGTAAATGGTTAGCCTTGGGCGCACCATCCTAAGGAGGAAAAAAGAAAGCTGTTACTCAACTCTTTCATGGTGAGCACATTTTAAGAACTTGTGTGTCTACATTTTAGCTCCCCACTGGTGTGTGTGTGTGTTTAACTGAATTCATTCCAACAGAAGCCCTCATATAAACCTCTGGTTTTCCTTGAAAAATCAGATCTGGTGATCCAAGGCCCCCATTCTTACAAAACACCCAATCAGCTGTTCTACTTGCGTGGTGCATGCATTCTTCAGTACCCCCCAGACTTGACTGTCACTCATTTACATGTGGTCTCTGTAGTCATTTGAGTTTGTAACCTTTGATGTAAAGGTTAGAAAGATTCAAAATGTGTGAGCCACTGTTTTGTGGGTCAGTTCAAGACATACCTTCTATTGATACTTAAAAGTACCAACAAGATAAACTAGAAAATCTTATTTCCCTCATTATCTTCTCCTAAGCGTCTTTAGCCTTCTTTCTGTTCTTTCTTCTTAGACAACAATATTGAATTACCTCTTGCTCTGATCATCTGATTCCTTCCTATTTCTAAATGCTCTGTAGGTAATACTTTTTTTTTTTAAATTATTTATTTTTGGCTGTGTTGGGTTTTCACTGCTGCGTGCGGGCTTTCTCCAGTTGCGGCGAGCATGGGCTACTCTTCGTTGCAGTGTGCGGGTTTCTCATTGTGGTGGCTTCTCATTGCGGAGCATGGGCTCTAGGCGCGCGGGCTTTAGTAGTTGCGGCACGCGGGCTCAGTAGTTGTGGCTCACGGGCTCTAGAGCACAGGCTCAGTAATTGTGGCACACGAGCTTAGCTGCTCCGCGGCATGTGGGATCTTCCCAGACCAGGGCTCAAACCCGTGTCCCCTGCATTGGCAGGCTGATTCTCAACCACTGCGCCACCAGGGAAGCTCCTCTGTAGGTAATACTTTTAAAAATGAAAGATCCATTCTTTTCCTTCCAGTCATCAACCCTTGAATTTCACCTCTTTCCTTAAAAGTTTCCAACTTGGGCTTCCCTGGTGGCGCAGTGGTTGAGAATCTGCCTGCCAATGCGGGGAACACGGGTTCGAGCCCTGGTCTGGGAAGATCCCACATGCCACGGAGCAACTAGGCCCGTGCGCCATGGCCGCTGAGCCTGCGCGTCTGGAGCCTGTGCTCCGCAACAAGAGAAGGCCGCGACAGTGAGAGGCCCGCGCACCGCGATGAAGAGTGACCCCCCTGCTCGCCGCAACTAGAGAAGGCCCTCACACAGAAACGAAGATCCAACACAGCCAAAATTAATAAATTTATTTTTTAAAAAAGTTTCCAACTTGATTCAATTATCTCTTGTAATATACACAAACACAAATACTTCACAATCTGTTTCATTATTTAGTCACTGATTTGGTTCTATGGCACTGACCTGTATTTTTTTCCATCAATATTACTACTTCCTATTTTAAACTGTAAATCCCAAACAGAGACTAGAAATTCCTCTGTATTACATGTAATATTTGTAAGCAGACACTTAAGCAATTCCTACCCAAACTTAAGAATAATCTCTTCTTTAGTAAAACTGAGTTCAGGACCTTTGCACCCACTGTTTCTTCTGCATAGAATGTTCTTCCCTCATGACTCCAAAGCTTCCATCCTTCTCATAACTCAGTTTAAATGCCCCCTCCTCAGAGAGGTCTTTCCTGACTATATTCTGTACTCTGTAGGCCACAACCTTATTTTTGTTTGTTTGTTTTGTTTTCCTTCAAAATACTTATCACTATTCAAAATACTTATAGTTTATAATCTTCATCTCTCTCCCCATCAGAAAGCTCATCAATGTATCACCAAAGCCTAATGGCTCATAACAGGGACAATGGATATTTAACTGAATGGAAAAAACTAATGAAAAATGGAGTATCATGAGGAACTCCTTGGATCAAGTACAGGAAAAGATATTTTTCATCTTTATTCGGCACAAAGCTGGCATTCGAAAAGAATGTTTCGACAAGATGTATTTAGCTGTACAAAAAGTATTGCGAAGAGTCCCTGAATCCAAATCCATTTGAAATCCAGCCCCACTGATATTTTAACACTAATTACATACCGGCCTTTCAATGCATTAAAAAGTCTGATTCCATCTGCAGGGCCACAGATTTGAATCACATCATCTCTAGTTAGCTTCAATAAATCTGCCCCTGGAATAAATATAAGAAAATGGGTGATAAAGGCAAAGATTCTCCTTGTTAATGACTTAAAATGGACTCTGTTACAGGACACCTCATTACTAGTATGCTACAGTCATAATCTCTTGCATGGCATATAAGGCCCTCCATGACCCGGCCCCTGCATCCTCTCCCACCTCAATTCCCACCCAATTAACTTATTCATTTAACCCTATGCTTTCATCATGCTGATCACGCCTAATGAGCAAGTTGTTCCTCCTGCCTGAAATATCCTTCCACTGTCTGACCAACAGACTCTTCCTCAGCCCTCAAGATATACCTCACGCATCACACATCACACATATTCCCAAACTCCAGAGCCTTACACTTATCTATTGCATTACAACTATTTGTTTACCTTTTTCAGGGTTTTATTTTGATTTGGGTTTTCTCTGATACTAGATGGTGACTGATCAGGAAATATGCCTTATCCATTTGTGTATTCCTACCATACCTGGTACACAGAAGATGCTAAATAAGAGTGGAATGTGCAAAGAAAACATAATATAGTGATATCAAGGGGAAAATTTCCGACCACCTGCAATGCTCCTTGATAAAATATTTTATGGATAATATATTTTAAAGTATTGTATAGAATAAATATTTTAAAATTAAAATGAGTTTAAACTAAGAGGTCTTTCTTTTTTGAGCATTTCACAGCACAGCTGCAGCTGGTGAGAAAGTCTGAAGGGTTCAATGAAATTCATTTAATCAGAAAAACGCATTAAGATCTCCCCCCTCTACACACAAAACAACACAGGGATACCAGGAGGCCCTGGAATGTAAAGGAAATCCCATGCTGGGGAAAACAAAAGGACAAGCAAATTTAACCTGAGAAGTTTGTAAAAAGCCTTGTGAATGTGGAAAAACGGTTTCGATGCAACCACTGCTGAGCCTCCTGAGGTGTGGTTGTTGGCAAGAGGTTCTGAAAGAGGGAAAGCATTTTTTTTTGTAACTAAATAGACTCAACTTTAAAAAGGTAAACGTTACATCATTAGGTAACAACAGCCAAATACACCCACATTCAGACAGGCTGAGTTTGCTTGGAAGTTGTTTATACATCAGTCTTCTTTCTCTAACCATGCAAGATATCCATGGAATTCCATCCTTATCTTCCCCACTAGACTGAAAGTTCCTTAAATACAGCACAGTATCTGGTTCAGGCCAAAATTCAATAAATGTTTGCTTAGTGAATGAATAATACTCCCTAAAAGTTGGGCATTTCTACTGAATCACACAGTCACCAAAGTATTATCAGACATCAGACTATTAGACTATAATAACTGACATTTATATAACTTTAGACTTACATCTGTGACTGGAGGGGGTGGCTCTGGCTGGTGGTTTGGTGAACCATTTCTAAAGAAACATTTAAAATGAAAGGATGAGTTCATGACACATACTAGGGTTCATCGCCTCATTCTTCATCATCGTAAGTCTTAAGCTAGAGATTTAAGGGAATCTGTGCTATCTCATAAAACATTCTTACTCTTGGATCCAATACTTCTATTATCTATTATTTTAGCATAAAGACTTTTGTGTGTTGGGGGGGGTGGTAGCAGCAGAAACTATGTCATTTTTTATTATTGAAGAAATTGAAAAAAATACCAAAATTCCAGTAAGTTGGGACTGATTAGATAAATTATGGCATAAACAATACTTAACATAAGCTTATTAGAATGTAAACGAAAAATATCAGAATATAAAAGTAATCAATATATTACTACTGTATGAAGTGTATAAATATACACACAGATACAGGAAAAAATTAGAATAAATAGTATACAATGCAATGTGATCACATACTTTTATAATAAAAAACACAATAATTATTTTTAAAATAGCTTCAAAAATTAGTGCTAATTTGTGATCCAAGGGTTATCTCCACAGCCTTGATCTTCCCCTATACTTCCTTTTGCTCTACAGATTGTCTCTCTTCCCTAATGATTACTTCTTTTATGGGAGAAAAATTTGAGCCTAATAATGAACTACATGACAGAAGAAAATTTTAAAACTCTCATTCTATATCATATTTTAAATTGCCTATAAGTAGACTGCATAATCCATAGTTTGGTAACAGATTTTTCTTTCAAAAAAGATCTTTTTCTTCTTCTTTTTTTTTATTTTGGCCTTAGCTGCAAAATTCAAATTCAGTTATCAAATTTAGTAATTAACTTATCTCAGGGCTCTAGTTATCTATTTTTCCTACAATTTCTACCTAGTTTTATTCTTAACTGTTACATTTTGAATATTTAAGCTACTTTTTTTTTTTTTTTTTGGCCGCACTGCATGGGCTGTGGGATTCTAGTTCCCGATCAGGGATTGAACCCGTGCCCCTGCGGTGGAAGCACAGAGTCCCAGCCACTGGACCGCCAGAGACTTCCCTAAACAACCTTAATTAAATACTTGCAGAAGTAGGATGAACATAGAGCCTAAATAAATTCAAAAACGAACATCACAACCAAACAATATACTCACACATTTCACAACCTAACTATTTCACATTTCAATATGACCTATGTAGAATATGTGTTAAATGCTGGAACTATAAGACAACTTTCTTTAACTGGAGTAGGCGTCTATACCAACTTTCAATTATCTCTGATGGTAAAACACAGTAAGACTAAATGCGTCCCACAGATAATTCCCAAACTTCATTTTGGCTCTCATCTTCACCTTCTTCCCCCAATTATCAAAGATTCATAATAATTAGGTGTTGGGATCATTCTTAATAAGTAACCAAACAGATTTTACTGTTTGCACAACTGTGTTTCAATTCCCAACGACCACTCTGATCAGGAAGTGAAATAACTTTAAGAGAAGCAGTAAGAGGGAGAAGGGAAAAACCCAGAAAATCCATTCCCTGAATCACTAAAAACTGACCATAAATGCTGTTTCCTAATAGTGGGGAAAAGGGAATTCCCTGGAGGTCCAGAGGTTAGGACTCTGCGCTCTCACTGCCGAGGGCCGTAAGGGCAATGAAAAACTAAATCCCATAAGCCTTGTGGCGTGGCCAAAAAAAATGAAATAAAATAAAATAAATAAATAATAGGGGGGAAAAAAGGCTACATAAAACTCTTTCAGTCTCTTTTGAAGATAACCCAAACCTCAGTTAATATATAAGTCCATCAAAGACTGACCAAATAGAAGGTCTTATTGATTTGGAAAGATTTTGTTTATGGAGACATAACAAAAGAATACATATTTAGGACAAACACAAGCCAATTTCCCAGACTTACCCTTCCCCAAGAGAAAAATTGTTATGGGAACTGTTGAAGCCAGGTGATGGGGAATTATTGACATATGTGATCTCGGGCCATGGAGAACACTAAAAACAAAGGACAACTTAGACACAGAAAGTACATTTGACTCTTTCAGTGTCAAAATTCCACAAAGATGTACTACTGTTACTCAAATGGCGCGTCTTTTTTTTTTTTTTTTTTTAATTTTATTGGAGTATAGTTGATTTACAATGTTGTATTAGTTTCAGGTATACAGCAAAGTGGATCAGTTATACATATATATATATCCACTCTTTTTAAGATTCTTTTCCCATATAGGCCATTACAGAATACTGAGTAGAGTTCCCTGTGCTATACAGTAGGTCCTTATTAGTTATCTATTTTTTATACAGTAGTGTGTATATGTCAATCCCAGTCTCCCAATTTATCCTTCCCCCAGCTTACCCCCTGGTAACCATAAGTTTGTTTTCTACATTTGTAACTCTATTTCTGTTTTGTAGATAAGTTCATCTGTCGAATAGCACATCTTGATTAGTAAATCTTAATTCCTCAGAGGCCCTCACAACTAAGAGGACAAGTACGTTTTGACCAGACTGGAAGTGATGTTTCTTTTTTTTTAAAAATTGACATGAACATTGTATTAGTTTTAGGTATACAACATAATGATATATGTATACAGTTGACCCTTGAACAACGCAGGTATTAGGAGCACCGTCTCCCCCTCCACAGTCAGAAATCCGGGTATAACTTGACAGTCAGCCCTTTGTATCTGCATCCTTGGATTCAACGAACTGCAAACCATGTAGTACTGTAGTATATATTTAGTGGGAAAAAAAATCTATGTATAAATGAACCCATGCAGTTCAAACCTGTGTTGTTCAAGGGTCAACTGTATATTGCAAAATAATTGTATTTTTCTTTTAAGAGTAAAAAGTACTGATTGAAATTGTCACCAGAAGAAATCCTTTTACCTCTGTGAGTATAGTTGTCTCATAGGAAGGTTGATATTTCTCCTTCTCATGAGGCGTTCGTTTCTCCATTTTCTCCCTATCTGTTTTTTGTTTTCTGTCTGCACCTTTGGGCTAAAATGAGAAATATTTTGTTTCAAACTCACACACTCACCCTTTGACTCAACAATATTACTTCTACGAACTTAAAATAGTCACATGTGAAACAAAAAGGTATGTACAATGAGGTAAAGACAAGATCCATCATTACATCTAAGTCTGAAAATAGGATATTTAAATATGTGATGGAGTTGAAAAAGAATGAGAGATCTATAGCTACAGACGTGGAAACATCTCTAAAGCACATAGTTAACTGAAAAAAACAAGCTTCAAAACAATTCATATAATCCCATTTATGTTTCAAAGAAAAGAAAATATATGTATATCTAGGTACCTGTGTATATAAGAGCACAGAAGGGAACTAGAAAGATACATATGAAATTATTGACAGTGGTCACCTCTGGGGAGAGGTTGGGGAGTCAGGGTAAGAGTGGTAAAGGGGGACTTCAGTGTCATGCTCTGAATACTGCTGTATTAATGAATCTTTCGCAATGAGAAGGTATTTATCCATATGATATCCATATGATCCCCTTTCCAAGTTCCCCTTCTCCCATGACCATCCCTATTTAAATTTCTTTACCGGGCATATCAGTAATTATTTCAATAACTCTAATTTAGGCTGAGCTTTCCTAGTTTTTGAAGATGGGACAAGCTGACTTTCTCACTTGGTGACTAATGTTGCAAATGAAAGACGAGAGAGAAAGTTCCAAGGGCCAGCACAGCGCCCAGGAGTACCTTGAAGACTTTGATCTGGCAGCTGGCTGAGTGTAAGTGCTCAGTATATTCCCCGTTCTCATTCTCCTTGAAGGTATCGATTTGTACTCGAAATGGCACTCCCTTCTCTCCACCATGTTTCCTCATAGTGAACTCTGTGCTAATGCAATGCACCTGAAAAGAATACAACATCCAGCCAGGTTTCAGTACTGTTAGCTAGCCAAACCAGTCAGCAACATTTTTGGGGCAACTACTAACAGCAAAACCTTTAAACACCTACAAAAAAAACTTTTCCTCTCTTTTTGATCATGAAGAATTCACACTCTCATGAGGAAACGAGGAAAACTTAAACGATTTACAAGTGCAAACAAAGTAAATGTACAGATCTAATGTTAACAAAAAGCTACTGTGAGGAATTCATTAATCGTTTCAGAAAAGACAGAGTTAACATAAAAGAGAAATGGTTTCTGTTAGTAAAACTTTCCTGAACTTTAAGGTAGATTTTAGAAAGCACAGGCACCATCCATGCTGGGAACACAGTAAATATGAAAGCTCACAAGCAATAGGAAGAAAAAGGTTTGCTAGGCTACTGCATAAAGTCCAAGATCTTGGTAATCTTAATAGTGGAATCTTGGTTGACCAAATACTAGCTTGGGTAAGTTATTTTCTCTAAGCCTCAAGGACTATTCTTACAACACAGGATTATTTTTGAAAGTCTTAAGTAAAATCATGTATAAAAAGTATTTACTTAACACAGTGACTACCTGATGAGAAGTGCTCAAACTACCGGTTATCATACAAATAAACTCTAACAAATAAGACTTTTCAAGCAATCTACCCAAAGGACATAATCAGATATGCAAATCAAATTCTAAGTATAAAGATGTTCTAAATAACTTCTTGGATAATAGTGAAAAATTAGAACATTCTCAAAGCTAAATAATTGTTAGGTAAGCACATCCAAAGAATAAAATATTATGCAACCACTAGCAAGTATTTTTGAGAGAAACAAATAAATAAATTGGGGAAATTAGAAGAGCAATTCAGAAACTCCTCATTGCTTTCAGGCACATGTCGAGTAAGTCTGCAC